AAGGCAAAATATTTCTCCACCTAAGACCCCTTTGATAGAGTCACTCCGAGTTGAAACGGATTCGGAATTTGAGGATGAAGTTCCTTTAGCCCGGCTCCGTACTGGATTGCGTTCAGCGCCAAGCACCAACGTGCTCCTGTTGATCCTGGTAAGATAAACATATAACCATTTACCTTTCTGGATTTTTAAGGTACTAACGACTCTGTTCACTGTGTTTAGTTGTTTCCACAGACTCCACTATCTTTACTGATATGGCTACTGAGGCAGGACCAACTTCTGATGACCCTACTGAAAGTAGGATGCCTCTAAGTTCAACTATGGAAATAGGCCGAGTTAATAATTCGACTGTTATTCCTGATGAAGCTGAGGGAAAAGAATTTGCTCCAACCACCATGGCTGAAGCTGAAGCCACCGTGAACACATGTGTTATGTCTACCAGCTCTATTGTCACGACTGCAATTTGCATCGCATCAAGTACTGCAGTCATTGCCGCTCCTACTACTGCAATAGTTGCTGCAACCATCGCCACTCATACCGTGTACACTGCACCACCAGTTTTCACAGAAGTTATGGTTTCTTCTGCCGCTCATCATGAAACGGTGTCTTCTAGTAGTACACACTCTTCTCCTATCGTCTTGGCGGGAAATTTTGTCGTATCAAAAATATTAGAGAATTTCCTCAACATTTTGAGAGAATCTCCCGCTCAAGTCTTAGATCGTGGAGGGGACTTTGCAGAAGTTAAGTAGGTACCGGTGCCTCTCTTGGACTTAATGAAGAATTTAACCTCTGACCTCACGGTATTACCTTACTGGTTACACCTGACCAAGGTTGAAGATCTTTTCAATCAATGGTATAATTGTCAGTCTCGATCTCTTTACCCTTTAGCTGAAGAATGAGTCATGCGAACTATACGCCAGAGGGATGACTCCTTATTCGAACTTGATCGTCAATTGCTTGAGACCAAGCAGCGAGTTAAGGAGCTTAAAGAGATCGAAGATAGTTTATCCCGTGAGAGTAAAAAAGTTGCAGACGTTGAACTTCGAAAATAATATCAAGTTGATCATCTTCAAGTTCAACTTAAGACTCTTTAGACCAAGCTAGCAGAGGCCGAGGCAGAGTTGGAAGGCATGATAGATATGAGGCATACATTGGCCTCTAAATAGGTGCAGCATCAGCCCTTGCTCCAAGCAGAACTCGATCGAATAGAACAGCTAGAAAAACTATCAATGATATGAGTGTCTATTCTGATGAGGAACTACATAGGCGTGCCTTGGCTGATGTTGAGGCAGAACATCAAGAATCCTTAGCTAAGCTTGCTGAAGAGATTCGTCAGACCGCTGGATCTATTTAGCTCTATTTCTTTTGTAATCAGACTTTTGTAGTTTTTTTTTATATAAGTAGAACTTTTGTTGTCTTTGTCCACCAGCTCTACTTTGCACCTTAACACATAATCTGATGTCGAAGTTCATGAACTTTGTTGCCTTGAGATTTAAGACTTCAAGTATAAGTCTTATCATTTTGATACGAGGTTGGATTCGAACTCCACTTTGTATTTCAAATCTAACATAACGAGGTTCTAGCCTCGTTCAATTAAGCTTCAGCATTTGAGCCTAATTAGAGGAATGACCTTCATCGAAGACGAGGTTTGAATCCAATTTCAATCAAGTCTCAGCACTTGAGTCCAATTAGAGGAACGACCTTCATCGAAGACGAGGTTCGAATCCAATTTCAATCAAGTCTCAGCACTTGAGTCCAATTAGAGGAACGACCTTTGTTGAAGACGAGGTTCGAATCCAATTTCAATCAAGTCTCAACACTTGAGTCCAATTAGAGAAATGACCTTCGTCGAAGATGAGGTTCAAATCCAATTTTAATTAAGTCTCAACACTTGAGTCCAATTAGAGGAACGACCTTCGTCGAAGACGAGGTTCGAATCCAATTTCAATCAAGTATCAACACTTGAGTCCAATTAGAGGAACGACCTTCGTCGAAGATGAGGTTCAAATCTAATTTTAATCAAGTCTCAACACTTTAGTCTAATTAGAGGAACGACCTTCGTCGAAGACGAGGGTCGAATCCAATTTTAATCAAGTGAATGACCCTCGTCGAAGGCGAGGTTTGAATCTAATTTAGGCTGAATCTTGACATTAGGGCTCTACTTGAAATAGCGATCTTCGTTATTTTTTGACTTGGGAACAAGAATGAATCTTGTTGAACGACGTGGCAACCTTCGACAGTTCCCAGACTGTTGATCCACAAGGATCCGTCGCTTCATCTCGTCAGTATTAAGTCTTTGGTACTTAATGCGTCGCTTCGAGCCACGTCCTCTTTGGCGCTAATTACGAACGCAATTGATTGCTTCTCTTCATTCCTAGCACCCTTTGGCGGTTCGGTGCTTGGGGATTCGTGTAACGAATCTCAGCCACTTGGTTGGGTTCTTCGCTTATAAATAGGCCATTACTTTTTGAGAGGATTCATCTTCCTCTTCTGTGCCTAGTTTCAAAATGACTCAGAGGGGACTTTGTATTTAAGGCTTCCCCCTTCGCTTCCTACTAAATTCCAAGCTCCGATAATCGTCGCCAGTGAGGTAGGCAAAGTTGATGATACTGTCGCTTTAGGTAACGTTTCTGACCCGATCCTTGATCTCTTGGCCTTTGTAGTAGCTCGCTCGTTTGAGGATTTCTCAGTTTTCCAGAGTCGAAATCAGAATATATTTCAAAAACTTGTTGGACTTTTGAATGTAACCTCCATGAGATATCCTAAGTCCAAACATGCTTACTGTTTTGACATGCCATGCGCCCCCAAGCATGCAATCCCTTTTCTGGATTTCGGTCTATGTGGCAGCTTTGCAAACTCAGTGAGGTGCTTCCTTTCGGAGGAGTCAGCAATAATGTTAGAGCTGCCTTCACGTTCTGCAAAGATGGGAGAAGTGCTGATCCTATGCTCAGAGCTTGTGGTGTTTCTCTTAGTAGTCAGCTTACCCAAGTAGGTAGGCAAATGCTACAAGCACCCAAGTTAAAAGTTGGGTATGGGGAAGACTTCATGCCCAGGAATGGAAGATGAAACTTCAACAACAAGAATAACGACACCGTTGTGGACGAGGCTCGTAGTGCAATCTCGAAGGCCGACAAAAACTTGTAATTGAACTTCGTGTTGTAGTCCGAATGTCGTTAAAAGAATCTGTAAATGATCCTCGTAGTGTTGTTCGAAGGAACTTGTAACTGAATCTCATAGTGTAGTTCAAAGGAACTTGTAACTGAACCTCATGGTGTAGTTCAAGTCTTCTAAGTTCAATCTATGTACTTTGAGTTTTTGTACTTTCAATTATATATGAGTAAAATGTATATTTTATCCACATATTGTTCTCTTACTTTTTTGTGTAATTGAAACATTTTACTTAGGATTTTTAACAAACCCTCAGCTTTCAACGGACTTGAGTTGTCTTTACCAACTGTCGTTTGAGTTGGACTAGCCATACTTTTTCCCTCAGTATGATGAGTTGTTAAAGAGTTTCTCTTAGACTTTAATGCTAAGATTTCTCTTCTATCATTAGCCTTTTTTAGGCTTCAGATCAAATATAGGACAACAAAGTTCAAAATATGACTAAGTGTTAAGAACGAAGCTCAACACATAGCAAACTTATTGGGAAAATGAACGTCATTTATAAAAATGACGATGTTGGGATGATCAAGTCATTCAATGACTTTGAATAACAATGACGAAGAAAACAAAGGCACATCACTTTGTAGGCCTAAGTTAGAAAACGAACATCATTGGGGGGAAATGACGACGTTAGGAAAATCACATCGTTCAGTGACTTAGCAGTATGACGATAATGATGAAAACAAAGGCACATCACTTGGTAGACCTAAGTTGGAAAACAAACATTATTTGGGGAAAATGATAACATTAGGAAAATCACATCGTTCAGTGACTTAGCAGTATGACGATGATGATAAAAACAAAGGCACATCACTTGGTAGGCCTAAGTTGAAAAACAAACATCATTTGGGGGAAATGACGACGTTAGAAAAATAACATTGTTCAGTGACTTAGCAGTATGATGATGATGATGAAAACAAAGACACATCACTTGATAGGCCTAAGTTGGGAAAACGAATGTCATTCGGAAAAAATGACGATGTTAGGAAAATCACATCGTTCAGTGACTTAGCAGTATAACGATGGTGATAGAAATGAAGGCACATCACTTGGTAGGCCTAAATTAGAAAAATGAATGTTATTTGGGGAAATGATGACGTTAGAGTAATCACATCATTCAGTAACTTAGTAGTATGACGATGGTGATAGGAACAAAGGCACATCACTTGGTAGGCCTAAGTTAGGAAAACGAATGGCATTTGGGGAAATGACGATGTTAAGAAAATTACATCGTTCAGTGACTTAGCAGTATGACGATAGTGATAGGAATAAAGGACATCACTTGGTAGGCCTAAGTTGGGAAAACGAATGTCATTTGGGGAAATGACGACGTTAGGAAAATCATGCAGTAACACATCACATAGTAAGTTACTATTAGAAATATATTGTTTTGAGTAAAAACATCAACAATTAGAGGTGATCATTAACATGATGATTTTATAGTCCCACTATCCTATTGAAGAGGATTAGTGAGGAAAATTTGGAGGAGATGAAGTGAGGAAACCATTACCTTTCTTTACTTCTCCTCCTACGGTGAGGCATATTTGACCATGAGGTCTATGGGTAATATTTCTTCAGAAATTTACCATTGATAAGCATCATGAGTTTGTCACCATCTTGAGTGACAAGACGATAAGCTCTATTTGAGTAAACAGTTTTTATCACAAATGGTCCCTCTCATTTTGGCTTGAACTTCCCTTTTTTTTGGAATTCAAAATCATTGGGCGTCGAACGACAAGAACCAAGTCACCTTCTTTGAATGTGCGGTATCTAACCTTTTTATCGAATGCTCTGGAAATCCGAGCTTGATAAAGCTCGATGTGTTATTGAGCCAGTAGTCACTTTTCATCTAGCGCTTCCAGTTCTTCAAGACGTCGGTGATGACTTTCTTCCTTTGTCATGGCAGTTGCAAGTGCTATTCGCAGAGATGGAATTTGAATTTTCGATGGTAATACGGTTTCACATCCATATACTAAGGAATATGGTATCACTCCTGTTGGCGTGCGAACCGTTGTGCGATAAGCCCACAAACTTTGACCTAACTTCTCATTCCTGTCTCTTTTATTTGTCGAAACCACCTTAGTGAGAATTCTAATGATGGTCTTGTTGAATGCTTCTGCTTGCCCATTAGCAGCAGGGTTATAAGCTGTTGAAGCCAAATTTTTGATCTTGAATTTATCATAAAATCGGGTGAAGGCTTGGCTAACGAACTGGGGCGCGTTGTCATGGACGATATGTCTCGGAATGCCGTATCTGTATATGATGTGATGTTTTAAAAACTTAACAACATCACTCATTTTAACTTCTCTCAACGGGATTGTTTCTGCCCATTTAGAGAAGTAATCAGTTATCGCTAAAATAAAGCGATGCCCCTTGGAAGAGGGTGGGGTTATTGAGCTAACAATGTCCATACCCTATGTTTTAAAAGGCCATGAAGTGACTGACGGGTGAAGATGCTCGGGTGGTTGATGCATGTAGTTAGCATGTATCTGGCAGGAATG